GATCAGAGAGAGACCAGAGAGAGACCAGGGAGAGACCAGAGAGAGATCAGAGAGAGACCAGAGAGAGACCAGGGAGAGACCAGAGAGAGATCAGAGAGAGACCAGAGAGAGAGACCAGAGAGAGATCAGAGAGAGACCAGAGAGAGAGACCAGAGAGAGACCAGAGAGAGACCAGGGAGAGACCAGAGAGAGATCAGAGAGAGACCAGAGAGAGACCAGGGAGAGACCAGAGAGAGATCAGAGAGAGACCAGAGAGAGACCAGGGAGAGACCAGAGAGAGATCAGAGAGAGACCAGAGAGAGAGACCAGAGAGAGACCAGAGAGAGACCAGAGAGAGACCAGGGAGAGACCAGAGAGAGATCAGAGAGAGACCAGAGAGAGACCAGGGAGAGACCAGAGAGAGATCAGAGAGAGACCAGAGAGAGAGACCAGACTGTAGACTGTAAATGTGCATATTTTAAAACATGGCTGGGGAACATATAATAAACAAGCACAATAATAATCAGGGCTGGGAATTTGCAAAAATGTGAGGATTCAAAAGTATTGCGATATTTTGACCAAAAATCAATATTATTGCGATTCTTGACATATCGCGATACAGCTGGTGTTGTGATTCTGTGATGTATCGCGATTCATGTCACTCAAAGGCATTACAAACACTGAGAAAAATAATTTGTTGTTGTAGTAGAGACAGAAAACAAATGAAAAAAGAATTAAACAAATTTTGATTAAATTAAATATCACGATACTTTGCTTTACCGTATCGGTTTAATTGTGTGCGCACAATATATCGCAATACTGAACACAATTGATTTTTTTCCCACCACTAATAATAATAATGACCGGGATTAGGCCTGTCACAATAAAAAAAAATTCTGGACGATTATTTGTCTCAGAAATTATTGCGATAAGCGATAATATTGTCGTTCTGAGATCCTAACACAATGATAGTGGGGCAGGTACACCTTTTCAAAGAGAAATACACTTTTAGTTTTAAAGACCACCGCCGGAAGTTGCGGAAGTAGCGGTCGGGCTTTGATGCTAACAGAGTTAAGCTAGCGGAGTTATGGTGCGCCATACGTTTATTTTGTTAATAAACGGTACTTCTGCATCGGCAAACACGCTATCGCTAACTGCGCTAGTTTTGTCATTACTAGAGCCTGAATGAGAACAACTACTGTGTCCCCCATTGTCAGTCCTGGTTAAGTCCTGGTTAAGTCCTGGTTTATTCCTGGTTTATTCCTGGTTTAGTCCTGGTTTAGTCCTGGTTTAGCTCCTGTTTTGGCTGTATTTTGTATTTTTGAGTATTTTCAGTCTGCTCGCTAGACCGCTAACGTCTCCGTGACCACTTTGCAGCTCTCTGACCCGAGAGAGAGAGACGAAGAAAACAAACAAGCATGCAAATGGAATTTATTGTAGCCAGAAAATATATGGAGCTAATTTTAATTATCCTGCGATTGATTGATTGAATTTTACGACAGGCCTAGACGGGATTTAATCATAATAAACAACCAAAATGTAGCTCTGTTCTTTATCTTCTTTCACAAACATTTGAACCAATGCATTTTTAAACAGAAAATAACATATTTTTGGCTGTTTTTATTTTATTTATTTATTTTATTTATTTATTTATTTAAGTAGGGACAGTACATATTAATGAACATATAAAATATGTAAATATGTCAGATTTTAGCCATAGGCTAATTTCCATCTGTTGTCCCTAGACAGGCTGATGTGAAACTTCACATTGAACATTTAACAATGACACAAAAGAAAGTCACAAGACAGTACAGGAACAGAACGACTGCAGGACAAGGAACAATGGGACCACAAGATACACATTCAAATATACTGTACAAAGAACATTAGGGATCTCAGGCAAATACAATGACAAAAGACTGGACACGACAGAGGACAGGGAGGACAGGGAAGGGTGAGGCAGAAAATGGGAGCGAAGGCGGTTCACTTCCACAAACCCAGGGGAAGACTTAATTCATTAATTGCTACGGATTTATAAAAATCTAAAATTTCATTACGTTTTTTTTTTTTTTTTTTTTCTCTTTAAAATACCTATCTAAAATGCTGTGGTGCCCTAAGGTACGTTTTACTTAAAATGTTATCGATTATGTTGACAGGTTTGTGTTGATCTGAGCCATTCCTTTAAGTGATTTTTAAATGATTTGAAGCTGATTGCCTCCCTCACAGTGGTTGGTAGTTTATTCCACTGGACACTGCCTTTATAGGACAGGACATTTTGACCAAAAGAGGTTTTCCTCACAGGAACCTCACAGTCGCCTCTGCTCATGGACCGAGTTGTTCTCGAGGCACTTGTTCTGTATTTAAAATATCTTGTTAGGGGTGGTGGAGCCAACCCATGTAAGCTTTTATAAATTAGACAACAGTTTTTGAATGTTATGAAATGTTCAAAGCTCAATAAATTATATTTGGAGAGGATATTACAATGGTGGTAACTAAATGGTTGTTTATCAAGGATTTTCAGTGCCTTTTTATAAAGTCTTTCAATTGGTTTAAGAATCGTTACACCTGTCAGAGACCAACTAGTTATACAGTAGCTTACGTGCGAAAAGATCATACTATGTAAAAACATCATAGCAGCTTGATCAGTCAT